TGTTCGTTGATGATCGCACAATGTTCAGTTCGATACGGAAGCAGCCCATGAATGTTACTTGCCACTTAAATGCCGGGCAATGACTATCTCCAAAAAGAGAGAACCTCACAACTGTCCCTTGACATTCAGTGGCATTGCCATCACCAAATCCTCCACTGTCAACATTCTGGGTTTCCATTGATCAGAGACTAAACTAGACTAGTCATGCAAAGACAAGCTACAGGAGCAGGTCAGGGGCTAGGAATACTGCAGCAAGTGACTCACCTCATGATTCCTCAAAGCCTGTCCACCATCTACATGGCACAAGGCAGGAGTGTGATGGAATACTCCCACTTGCCTGGATGGGTTCAGCGCCAACAACACTCAAGAAGCTTGACACCATCCAGGACAAAGCAGCCCGCTTGATTAGCACCACATCCACAAGCATCCACTTCCTACACCACTGATACTTAGTAGCAGCAGTATGTACCATCTACAAGATGCATTGTAGAAATTCACCAAGGCTCATTAGACAACACCTTCCAAATCTATGACCACTACCATCTAGGAGGACATGAGCAGCACAGAAATGGGAACACCACCATCTACAAGTTCCCCTCCAAGTCAGACACCATTCTGACATGCAAATATATCACAATTCCTTCTCTGTCGCTGGATCAATTGGAGGGAACATCGTGTTCTGTAGATATCACTGCACACCTCGGAACCCAGCAGTTCAAGAAGACAGCTCAAAATCACCTTCTCCAGAGCAATTAGGAATGAGCAGTAAATGTTGACCCAGCCAGCAACATTCCAGGAACAAATAAAAATCAAGATGTTAACTTCCATTTTATCAATTTATTTCTGTTTGCTCCCAATTCCAGAATCCAAGAAATTCCACCTTTGTAATGTATATTAAATATGGAATTGAAAGGCCTATGGTGGGACACCATTGTACCTACTAATTGGTGGATTCCATGGCTGGGTTGAGAAGCCCCTGTCAGACACACAGCATTTACCTCCAGGCTTGTAACCAAGCCCTCTGGCATTCCTAGCACTGACTACTCCCAGGTCCCTTGATTCTATACCTGATGAGGTTCTGTGGCATCAGGTCAAATGTGGACAGGAAATGTTCTGCTGATTACCACGTTCCACCTCCACCCTCTCAGCTAATGAATTGGTGCTCCTCTGTGTTGAACAACACTGAGAGGATGCTACTGAGAGTAGCAAAGATGCAGAAGGTACTCTGGATGGGGGTCTTAGAGTGGTTTGACTCAGCTGGTCATGTCCTAAAGGAGGAAGCTGCTAGACTGGCTGTGTGGCAGATGGTGAGGAAACTGACTCGTGTTGCAGTGAGTTACTGATCCAGTCAGTGGCTCCAAATTAGAGCTGGAAGGAACTGGATTTCAGCTGCAGCTCTGTTCTCTGCAAGCCATCAGCTGTTCACATAATTATGAATCTTGAGGCTGCAGCTCCCCTTGGTGGTAGAAGATTCTTCAACACTTGCAGTTTGTCAACAATGCCACAGGAAAGTTTGTGAAAGTACTTGTGTGAAGAATGATTCATTCTGAGGAGACGTGATCTAACATTGAGACATGCCTCCTACAACACAAAACTAACAACCGCAATCTACACAGATTCTCCTGGAGTTTACCATGTTTAAAGATTGATTTTCTGGAGACTACAGTGTCCAAGTGGATTCATACCATTACATAACATTAACTCTATTTCTCTGTCCACATCTGCTGCCCTGTTGAATTTTTCCAGCACTTTCTGTTTTGTTAACCCAGGAGTAAACTCAGTTTCCTTATGATGTTTGGCTAAGGGAATAACTTTGGTTAGGATACCAGGGAGGATACCTCTATTCCTCTATGAAACTGTGCTATGATATCTTCTGTGTTCTGAAAGGGCCATTGGTTTCACATCTCATCTGAAAGACAGTAGGGAAAAGGGTTCTATGGGTATCATAGGGAGGGCAGTGTTGTAAAGTCTTTACTATCAGAGAACAGGCCATTCAAACAGGTCTAATGCTGGTATTTATGCTCCACACAAATAAAGCTGCTGTTAAAATTGATACTGAGACTAAAGATGAATCAGAAACCAGGCCTATAGTTTAAAAGGACAATGGAGCACCAGACTATGGAAGAAAGTTCATGGCAGTTGAAGAAGATTCACAACAGCGTGAACTGAAAATGCAGGAAAAGCACGTGCAAGTTGTGACAAAGCAGATAGCAACAGTACTCAGAGCTAATGACAAAACAGAAAAAAGGCATGCTTTGAAGGTGAGTGAGAAAGCTAAGTGTACTGTTGACCTACAGAACTGCAGGAAGAAATACCTGAACATAAATTAGAATCCCATTGGAGAGAATGGAATTAGACCAAGCTGCTGTTCAGGAATATGAAAAACAGGAGGAGATCCAAAAGATTTGTGAACTGAATTTAAAGAATTGTCAAACTTTCTCAGCTGACTATTGAAATAACCTCAATGACGTTCTTAAAGCAATAGAGAGGATTTAACTCCACAGAAAAATGAACTGTTTGCACAAAGGAGCCAACAGTAAACCTGGAAAAGCAGCATGAAGTATGAAGTTAGGGAAAAGAACTTAAAGTTGATCCTGAAACTAAACAAGGTGAGGTAAGTACAGTTTGGATGATTGGCCAGTGGATACATTTTTTAAAGTCTTGAATGTTAAATAAACCTGCAGACAAGGAAGAAAATGAGATCAGGAGTTAACATCTGATCAGAACTTGGTCTCTGACTTCACCTTGTGCTGTGAAAATGCCTGATTAATATAATTTCCCCATGAAGGACTTCAAGTTATGTAGGAGTAGAGGCTGCTCCCTCAGACAGAAAAGAAACACTTACTCCACCCACTCCAGGTATGCTCCGCCTTTTCCATTTCCTGTGTGTATTTACTTTTAACTTGAGTATGGAAGGCATTATAGGTCATGCTTGACACAGTGAGCCCCAGACTCAGCCTGACAATCCAGTAGCACCCCCTGAACCTCCATGTTCCGTTCTTCCTAGTAGTCCCTCTTAAGCCTGGCAATACTGAGATTCCAAATGTTCCCACACACCTTTTTGAATTACGATTTCATTTCCCAACATTACACCACCCCCTCCTCCCCCGAGCCCAGGCCTTACAGTTTAGCCATGTCATCATTGTGCTGCACCATGACCCTGTTGAAGCGGGTGATGGTCGTGACTGTCAATAAATCCTTTCCCCACTTCCACACTGCAGGAAATCATGTCCTACAATGCTGTGTGAATTACCCCCTTTAATTTGCAGTTTTCTCCCTCCTTCTCAGTTATTGTCCTGTCTGCACCCCAACATTGATGCCTTCAATCCCAGAATTGACTTCCCCAACTTCTGTACCACAACAGTGATCCATAATATCCCTTCCACTTCCATTGAGTTGACCCCAGAACCAAGCATGGCCCTGACCTGCCTGACAGTCAACCTCCACTGCTGAAGACTGACCAGACCTCTGATCTCTGTGCAGTTCCCTGACTGACTTAACACCACTCCACACCCTGGTTATAGTGGACCTGCAGGACTGAACATGGCCAACTCTATGGATTGTAGCGATATGGACCCCTGCGTCTGGTCACCAAGTGGATGTACTGATATCGGAAGACTTATTCAGGGATCTACCACCCCTGACTGAATGCTGTCTCCCTTGGCCTGACTGAGGACTGTTATCATCTCATATGGTCTGAAGGAATGCCTCCAACCTAATGGAATGAGTGATCAGATGATGGATATATTAATGAAAAGTTAGTTAGATTTGAATTGGTTCTATAAATATGGGGAGCTAGTAATCAGTGGGATGAGAGTTTTATGGAGTATGACTAACTGAAATAAAGTTCTCATAAAAGTTTGCACTGGAAATCTGTTCAAAGACAATTATCTTTCAGAGGATAACAAGGGATTAGACTTTGAAACATGGCTATTTGGTTGGAGCACAAGCAGTGTGATGCATGTGGGAAATTAATGTAGCACACTACTGTACAGCAAGATATCCAACTCTTGACAGACCATTGCTGACAGTCATAACAAGCTGCCTGGCATTACATCTGTACTCATTAGCAAGGCAAGACAAAGGACTGTGAGCATTTAAGCTGCGGCTGAGAGGGCAAAGTGCAGTAAAGCAAGGTAAGATAGATATTGAGATAACAAGGTGTAGAACTGGATGAACACAGCAGGCCAAGCAGCATCAGAAGAGCAGGAAGGCTGACGTTTTGGGCCTAGACCCTTCTTCTGAAGAAACGTCAGCCTCCCTGCTCCTCTGATGCTGCTTGGCCTGCTGTGCTCATCCAGCTCTACACCTTGTTATCTCAGATTCTCCAGCATCTGCAGTTCCTATTATCTTTAAGATAGCAATTGTCCAGGTCAGCACAAAATGAGTGAGCGCTGAGAGAAAAGTTGGGGACCCCTGGACCAATCCATGAGCTGGTGCCTGTCCCTGGGAACAAACTGTACTGGTAAACAGCATTCCAACGAGAGAGGCCATGGTGTTCCAAAGTGCAGCAGTAAGTTGCAGATCCTGTGCTGTAAGTGGCTCAGAGATATGCCATTACGATGCAGACAGGTTGGTACATATCCAATGCCAACCTCTGTGGATGGGGAGGTGCAGGCAGTCATTGCCCACGGAGTGTGTCTGAGGCACTGGGGACTGTTGTCCAAGATGGAGGTCAAGAGGAGAGACCAAGTACCGGCTCTGAATTTCTTGTTGGGAATTGTCACTGTCTAGTTTCTATCTGGTGGGTGGGAGAATGAGGCCTGCATATCAATGAGTTTCCTCGTTATCTGTATCCTATCCTGTCTTGAGAATGTTGTTGTGAATTGTTACTAATTAGCTAAGGTTATGTGTGACTTCTACAGAGTCAGTATTTATTGGTCAGTTGTGAACATTAACTGTGTTCAATGGGAGTGCTACAATAGCTGAGCAAACTGCCTTGTCCACTGGAACTACTCATGCTCAAACTGAAAGCACCTCCTGCTTCTTTCTCCACCCAGGAATGTTTCAAGAATGAATTTACATCAGGTGATGGGCAGAAAGGTAAGCAAGAAGCATTATCAGTTTGTTCTTCCTCTTCCTTTAGTTTTATTCTGTTAAGTAGTTTCAGTGGCTTTCATTAGATAACCCATCTTCTGTAGGTTAGCACTTGGAACATAAAACATTGATTCTAGATAAAGCTTGAGGTTTATTGATTTTGATTTGCACTTTGCACCACAAAAGATCTGTGTACATTTTGAATGGTGGACAGGCAAGAACTATGGAGGTGAACGTGATTTAAGGATCTGTGAACAAAGAGCACCAGAATGTGATGGGTACAAAAAAATAGCCAAAAATAACTGCTGGATTGTCAGCTAGAACATAAAGGGTAAAGGGAATTTGATGTGATTTGATTTGGTTTGCTTTATTGTTGTCACATGTACTGAGGGAGGAGTATTTGCTACAATTATATAAATTGCTACCAGCTATGATTGGACCACATCTGGAGTATTGTGTAGCGTTCGAGCACCAACGTACTGACTTTGGAGGGGATGCAACAGAAATTCATCAAACTGTTACCAGGGAACCAAGGATTGGACTATGAGAAGTGATTGCATGAACCGAGATATAGAAAGCCCAAGGTTCATTAAGGATTTTAACATCTTGAAAAGTCAATGTGGGTCAATATGTGAACAAAAATATGAACAACGAGCAGGAGTAGGCCATTCAGCCCCTCGAGCCTATCCATTTAATAATAACATGGCTGATCCGATTGCTGCCTCAAATCCACATTCCTGTCATATCCTGGTAATCTTCCACCCTCTTGCTTAACAAGAATCTATCCATCTCTATCTTTGAATTAGTCAAAGACTTTCTTTCCAACACCTTCTCAGGGAGAGTTCTAGACATTCACAACCCTCTGAGAGAAAGTTTTTCTTCGTCTCTAAAAAGCCAACCCCTGATTTTTAATCAGTGATTCCTAGCTCTTGACTCACCAGTGAGAGAAAACATCATCTTCCCATTCTTGCAGGTTTCAATCAAGTTGTCTCTTAGTCTTCTAAACTCCAGGAGATACAAGCATAGCCTGTCTGACCTTTCCTCATCAAAGAACCCACCCATTCCAGCTATTAGTCAGATCGACCTTCTGTGAACTGCTTTCTTCCTGAAATGAGATGACAGGTGTTATACACAATTCTCCACACGTGTTCTCACCCATGCCCTGTACAATTGAAGAATAATCTTTATTTTTGTATTCATTTTCCCCTTGCAATAAACAATAGCTTCTCTATTAGCTTTCCTAATTTCTATCTGCCCTTGGATACTAACCTTTTGCTATTAATGCACTAGGACACCCAGATTCCTTTGTATCTCAGATGTCTGCAATCTCTCACCATTTAGATAATTTGCTTATTTTTATTCTTCCTGTCAAAATAAACAATTTTCACATTTTCTGGAAATCTAAGTACTGTACATCCATTGGTTCCCTTTTATTCACAGCGTTCCCTCCTCAGAGCTCCCATAAATTGGTTAAACGTGTCTTCCCTTTCACAAAACCATGTTGATTTTAAGTGCCCTACTATAACTTCATTATAAATAGTTTTTAATATTTTCCCCATGACAGATGTTAAAGCTAACTGACATGTTTTTCCTTCTCCATCATTCCCTTTTGGGGTTATGCTGCTATCTTCCAATTCTTTTTCCACTTTGGGATGCCTTGAACATGAACATATTTTTAAAATCTTCAAATCAGAGCCTGACTATTTGGGATAAGGCTAGGAAACTTCTTCAGGCAAACAATGGGATGAGTGTGGGACCTGCTTATACTGAAAACAATAAGTTCAAGCTCAAGGAACAATTTTAAATCTGAGATTCAGAGAGTTTTGCTCTCAGCCAAGGAATTTGAGGCCATATGGTGAGTGTTTCGAATTCAGATTCAGATCAGCCCTGATATCATTGACCATCCAATGCACTATTTTTAATCCTTGAGCAGCGCTGGTGGTCAGAAGCCAGTAAGGTAAGGCAACCTTTAGAATTCCATGAAGTAAATGTAAGTTTCACATAGTCCCATCATTCAGCAGGGTCAGAGCTAACATCTGCATCAACTTCATTTTCCTGTTTTATTGCCATATTAATCGATTCACTTACAATTTCCTTAAAGTCGTATCAATCACAGCGTGCAATGTACTTAACAGCTGAGTACTCACAACTCTCTAGCTCAGAGAATTCCAAAGATTTTGTTTCTTTTGAATTATTAGTTTCCTCCTTGTCTACATTTTCAGTGATCGACTCAGTCCTCCTGAGTCTGTATGCCCTCTTTCTAGAACATAAGACATAGTAGCAAAAGGAGGCCATTCAGCCCATTCAGTTCACTCTGCCATTCAATCAGATCATGGCTTATCAGACAATCCTGAACTCCACTCTCCTGCACTTTCTCTGTGACCCTTGATTCCCTTACTGATTATAAATCTATTTCAGCCTTGAATAACATCCCCACCTCAACAGCCCTCTGCAGTAAAGATTTCCACAAATTTGCAATCCTCTGGCTAAAGAAATTCCTCCTCATTTCTGTCTTAAATTGGTGGCACCTTATTCTGAGATTATGCCCTAAGGCCCTGAACTCTTCCTCCAGGGGAAATAATCTTTCTGCATCTCCTGTGTCAAGCCCCCTGAGAATCTTGTATGCTTCAAATAGGCTACCTCTCATTCTACTAAACTGCAATGAGTACAACCCAACCTACTCCACTTCTCCTCATAAGACACAGTCTCTCCATATTTGGTATCAGCCAAGTGAACCTTCACTTGTCTATCTCCAATGCCAGTATATATTTCTTTAGCTAAGGGGCCCACGACTGTTCAGCAGTATTCCAGCTGTGGTCTAATGCTTTGTATAGTTTTAGCAAACCTCCCTACTTTTATACTCCATTCCCTTTGGAATAAAGGCCAACATTCCATTCACCTTCTCTATTACCTGCTGAACTTGGATGCTAGCTTTTTGTGGATTTATGCACGAGGGCCCTAGATGCCTCTGTGTTACAGCTTTCTGCAGTCTTTCTAGGTATTCATCTCATATATTCTTCCTGCCAAAGTACAGAAGCTCACATTTCACCACATTACATTCCATGAGTCAAGTTTTTCTCCCCCACTCGCTTAACCTGTCTACATCCCTCTGCAGACTCTTTGAATCATCCTAATGACTTGCCTTCCCACCTATTTTGTGTCATCCGCAAACTTGGCTGCAGTACATTCACTTTCCTCATTAAAATCATTAATGTATATTGTAAGTAATTGTGGCCCCATCACTGACCCCTGTGGAGCTCCACCAGTTACAGACTGTCACCGTGAAAATGACCCTCCTTATCCCAATGCTGTTTTCTATTAGTAGCCAATCCTTTATCCATGCTCATATACTCCTTTCAACAGAATGGGCCCTTATTTGATTAGGTTGCCTAACATGGTGCCTTATTGAATGCCCTTTGGAAATTGTTTTGGAATCTCAAACCAAGGGGAAGCAGCCTCTTAGCATTCACCCTGTTCAATCCTCTTAAGAATGTTATACCTATCAGTTATATCAACTATTGGGAAACTCCAGAGAATATCAGCCCATCCACTGCCTAATCACTGATTTTCTAAGTGACCATGTCATTCTGATAGATTCTAGCAATCTCTTGAGGACTACCCCTGGGCCTGTATTCTCTGTCTTCTTAACTTCCTTGGCACTGGGGTTACATTTCAACTTTCAATCCATACAGGACATTCTAGAACCTGGGGATTATGTCCCACGCTGTTCTCTCACCTCAAACCCCCAACCCTATCCCCCATCCAATGCTCTTCCCCATCTTCTCTAACCAAGGTAACTTTACAGTTGGCCTCCCTGTACCTTTGACTGTTTATTTTCTCCAAACCTCACTCTTGTTGTAAGCAAATATTAGAGATATGTCTGTTCTGCACTGCACCTTTCACATCCCTCTGTGTGTTCCGAGCTTCACTGCTGAATCCATCAACCAGTCAATAAAGTGTGGGCCAGTCTGTTGTTTTGGAGGAGGCAGTTTGGGGATGGGTTTGTAGTATTGTTTCAGGAGGAGGGAGGTTGTGATGTTTTGATGGGAAGGGGCTGTTGTGTTAGCGGTTGGGGTTTTTTGTTTTGACATCGCATTTTGGATTAATGCTTTTTCACTATCTCTTGTGGAAAGCCCATCATGAGTTTGGCCATTTCTATGGATCCAGTTACATAGCTGCTCCTGATGGAAGCCGCACTCCTGGACTGTCCCGTACAGAGGATGGCCTGCTTGTGGCTGAGCTCGATCTCAACCTGTGTCGCCAGATGAGTGATAAATGGGCCTTCAGGGTAAGAAAAGCAAAGATATATGACTTCTTCGGTGCCATTCTGTCCAAGTCTCCAATATCTCCTCTTCCAGATGGAAAATGTAGTTAGTTGGAAATGAACAATACTGGGCAAACCAACAGCATTTGCAAGTTTTGCTGCTGACTGATGGGACAAGCACTTGCAGAGTGTGCACCAAGCCTACTCCTCACTCGTTTCCTCTGCTCGCTCCCTTTGCTCACATCTCCTCCTCCCTCATTGTCTAAACCTTCCCATTCCTTGCAGAAGCAGATGCAACCACAGCCTTTTCTCAGTCCTCCTGCCTTTCCCGAGCCTCCAGCTATCATTCATAGAAACATAGCAGGATAGAAAATGGGAGCAGGAGGAGGCCATTCGGCCCTTCGAGCCTGCTCCGCCATTCTTCATGGTCATGGCTGATCGTCCAACTCAATAGCCTCATCCTGCTTTCTCCCCATTACCTTTGATCCCATTTGCCCCAAGTGCTTTATCTAGTCGCCTCTTGAATACATTCAGTGTTTTGGCATCAACTACTTCCTGTGGAAATGAATTCCACAGGCTCACCACTCTTTGGTGAAGAAATATCTCATCATCTCTGTCCTGAATCGTCAACTGGAAACCTCATACTGGCTCTGGACACACCCATGATTGGGAACATCCTCCCTGCATCTACCCTGTCCAGTCCTGTTAGAATTCCACAGGCTCTCTTTGGGTGAAGAAATGTCTCCTTATCTCCTTCCTAAATTGTCTATCCGAATCGACATGCTATGACCCCAGGTTCTGGACGCACCCACCATCAGGAACATCCTCCCTGAATCTACCCTGTCCAGTCCTGTTGGATTTTATAAGTCTCTATGAGATCCCCCCTCATTCGTCTGAACTCCAGCAAAAGTAATCTCAACCTAGTCAATCTCTCCTCATATGTCAGTCCCGCCATCCCCGGAATCAGCCTGGTTAAACCTTCACTGCACTCCCTCGAGGGCAAGAGCATGTTTCCTCAGAAAAGGAGACCAAAACCGCACACAATATTCTAAGTGTGGTCTCACCAAAGCCCTGTACAACTGCAACAACGCATCCCTGCTCCTGTGCTTGAAACCTTTCGCAATAAAAGCCAGTATACCATTTGCCTTCTTTACCACCTGCTGCACCCGCATGCTTACCTTCAGCAACTGGTGCACAAGGACACCTAGGTCCTGCTGCATACTCCCCTCTCTCAATTTACAGCCATTCAGGTAGTAATCTTCCTTCTTATTTTTGCTTCTGAAGTGAATAACCTCACATGTATCCAAATTATACTGTATCTGCCATTGATTTGCCCACTCACCCAACTTGTTGAGATCATGCTGAAGGATCTCTGCATCCTCATCACAGTTCACCCACCCAAATTGGTATCATCTGCAAACTTGGAGATGTTACATTTTGTTCCCTCATCCAAATCATTAATATATATTGTGAATAGCTGGGGTCTCAGCATCGATCCCTGTGGCACCCCACTAGTTATGGCCTGCCAATTTGAAAATAACCCATTAATTCTTACTGAGATAGTAGGAACTATCGATGCTGGAGAATCTGAGATAACAAGGTGTAGAGCAGAAAATGATTTTCTGAAGAAGGGTCCAGACCTGAAACGTCAGCTTTCCTGCTCCTCTGATGCTGCTTGGTCCTCTCTGCCAACCAGTTTCCTATCCATCTAAATACACTTCCCCCAATCCCATGTGCTTTAATCTTGCACAATATTCTCTTACGTGGGACTTCGTCAAACACTTGCTGAAAATCCAAATATACTACATCGACTGGCTCCCCCTTGTCAACTCTACTAGTTACATCTTCATAGAATTCCAACAGATTTGTCAAGCATGATTTCCCCTTCATAAATTCATGCTGACTCTGTCTGATCTTGCCACTGCTTTCTAAATACTGTGCTGTAAAATCCTTGATAGTAGATTCAAGAATTTTCCCCACAACCGATGTTACGCTTACTGGTGTATAATTCCTTGTTTTCTCTCTACCTCCCTTTTTGAATATTGGACTGACATGAGCCACCTTCCAATCTGCAGGGACTGTTCCAGAGTGTACAGACTCCTGGAAGATGACCACCAATGCATCCACTATCTCTCGAGCTATTTCCTTAACTACTCTGGGATGTAGATTATCAGGACCTGGGGATTTATAGGCCCCCATGCGTTCCTTGAATGTTTGCCATTGCCTAGCCAATGTCATCCCTTTAAGTAACTCTCCCCAATCTATCAAGGTCAAGTCACACCTCATATCCTTGAAGTTTCCTTTATTAAGATTCAGCACCCTAGTCTCTGAATCAACAACCTCATTCTCCATCTTGATAAAAAATTCTATCATGTTATGGTTACTCTTCCCCAAGGGGTCTTGAAAAGCTAGATTGGCAATGATCCCCTTCTCATTACACAGCACCCAGTCTAAGATGGCCTGCTGTCTAGTTGGTTCCACCACATATTGGTCAAGAAAACCATCCTGTATACACTCTAGCAATTCCTCCTCTACACACTCCAGCAATTCCTCCTTTACGGCATTGTGGCTAATTTAATTTGCCCAATCTATGTACAGATTAAAATCACCCACAATCACCGATATTCCCTTATCAGATGCATCTCTAGCTTCCTGTTTAATGTCATTCTCAACATTACCACTGCAGTTTGGGGATCTATATATGACACCTATTAATGTCTTTTTTCACCTTGGTATTTCTCAACTCTACTCATACAGACTCCACATTGTCAGAGCTAATGTCCTTTCTCGCTATTGTGTTAATTTCCTCTTTAACCAGCAATGCCGCTCCACCACCTTTTCCTTTTTGGCAGTCCTTCCTAAATATTGAATACCCTGGGACATTCAGTTCCCATCCCTGGTCATCCTGCAGCTATGTCTCTATAATCCCAATTATATCATGCTTATTTACATCTATCTGCACGATTAGTTCATCCACCTTATTGCAGATGCTCTGTGCATTAAAGCACAAAGCCTTTAAGCTTGTCCTTTTAACAGTGTTTGTCTCCTCCTCATTTTTCTCAATAGCCCTGTTTGAATCTTGTCCTTGGTTTCTCACCCTATCACTTTTCTTATTCCCTTTTTTAGATTTTGTTTTTGTCCTTGCTGCCTTCTTTTCTGACTGGGAACCTCTGTAAACAATGAGTTCTAACATTAAGGCTGGTTCTCTGGACCTGACTGAATCTGTTTGGAGAAATGATTTGTGGGGATCACAGTCAAAGGTCTTAGTTGGATCAAGGGATCAGTGATGTTACATTTCCAGCCATGGACCACTCAACAGCTTTATCACAATTCAGATAGAACCCTGTCTCACTCAGGAAGCCTGCTAACAACAAGAGCCTGCACACAGCCAGTTTACACATGAAGGCTTGCATGTTAGACAGTCCCTCATTGATCAGAGTGTGCCTCATACTCCAGGGGGATTGGCCATGTGGTTCAGCGTGTACTGCTGAATTGGGCATTTAACAATCTCTCAGTGCAGGACAGAATGACTGACCAATGAGGTGGTAGCAGGAGGATGAAGGGTGTCAACAGGAGGAATGGGGTATAAGGAAACACTAAACTGTCGATATGAGGTGTGAATAAATTTCCTAATTTCCAGTAAGCTCAACCATTCAAGCACTTGAAGTAGGACATTGCTGTATCCAGTTGTACCTGACACCTCTCTTTCCTATTTGTTTTCTCAGATGACAGGAAGGTACGAGTTGTATGCTGAGGAACTTGCTCAGGCAGTGCAGCCCAACTTTGATCCCTACATAGTCACAGAGTGGTGATGTTACTGGGCACAGACAGCATGGAGACAATATCAGAGAATCGCAATATTTGATCAGATGATGTATTGATGCAATCAGACATTTTATCTTTATTTCTTACAGGTGGTTCTTCTATAATGTGATGTTGCGTTCTTGTGTGATCTCGTGCTATAGGGAAATCGCTACACCTGTACAGCAGAAAGTTTGCGTTATCCAAACAGCATCCGCTATTCATCAATTGAGTTACAGCCAATTTGCATTAACGAAATAAGTGTCATAGGAGAACTATCTGTACTTCCTTTTATCCAAAGCATTGTCATTGTGATTTTACACCAGATATTTCCTTGGGCTCCAAGTCACCATCATCCCAGTGCACGGAACTTACTTCTAATCCTGAAGAAGTCATACTGGACTCGGAACGTTAACTCATTTTCTGTCTCCACAGTTACTGGCAGACCTGGTGAGTTTCTCCAGAACACGTATAATGTGCTTTCTGGTTGGTGCCAGTACATACTGTTCTAAGAAACTATCCTGAAAATACTTTATGAACACGTCATCTAGTTTATCTTTGCCCATCTGACTTCTCCAGTCTATATGTAAATTAAAGTTTCCCATGATTATTGCTGTGCGTTTCTGACAAGCTCTCATTATTTCTTCCTTTATACTCCACCCTGGTACGGGGCCTGTACACCATTCTTACCCAAACCATTTCTACATCCAGGTATCCTAAACATAGGTCATCCCTTTATTATGCAATTACCATGATTAACCAACAGAGCCACCCCCTCCACCTTTTCCTAGCTTCCTGTCATCCATGCAGCCATGGTTACTACATCATAATTTTTCGATTTGTGCTTGTTTCATCTATTTTGTTTTAGCTGTCTTTATTTTGTATCGTCTATTCTGATCTGTTGGTTCACTTAGATTTGGACTCTCTAGCCCTTCCTGCTATGGTCCATTTATCATTTCCCGTATTAAATTTCTTTCTCTTTGACTCTAATTTTGGATTTACCACATCTTCCCAAATTTGACCCCTTACCCCCACAATTTAGTTTTAAATCCTGTCCACTGGGGTTATACAGTCAGTAAGAACATCAGTCCCAGTGTGGTTCAGATAGAGACCATTGTACTCCTCAGAATTGGTACCAGCACTCTACAAACTGGAACTCACATCTCCCACACCAGTCTTTAAATCATGCCTTCAGCTCTCTAATCTGATTTGTCCTATGCAAATTTGCACGACTCATAATAATTAGATTATTATCTTTAGATTCTGTTTCTTAATTTAATGAATAGCACCTAATACTGACCAGGCAGAACCATCTCCTTTGTCATTGGCACATACATGGACCATGATAACTGGATTCTCCTCCTCTCATTCCTCTCCCTGAGCAGAGCACAGGAAACTGATACGTGATGCCCCATACTATTCCTTTACTGGAAACCTTGAGGAGTCAAAGAGCTGCAATCAATAACAAACCTAAGGATCTCAGAGCTGCCAATCAAACCCACAGTCCAACGTGTTCTGGTGGCACATTAGCAGATCTGCAGTTTTATTGAAACAACAGACATCTCCTCATTGACCAAAATGTTAAATACTTTAAGAACTCCTCGGTTTTAACTACTTAACATGCTGATTCTGAGAATACAGAATGCAAATGAAAAAACTAACGCAGCCTCTCAGCATATTTTTCTCAGAAATCCAATCAAAGTCTTTTGAGGTGTCGATCAGCTGGTTGAGTCTTGTTGAAAAGAGGGACATTAATCGAAGAGGACATCAGAGGTTACAATTTATGTGGGAGTGCAATTTATTTAGATTTTTATTAGTCTGGTCTCAGACTGAAGTAGATCAACTTGAACTCAATTTCAAATTTGCCTGTGACAATCACTTCTGCTAATGATCCATTTATATCAAATCATGAATTAACCCTGTCTCATTATACAACATTTCAAATAGCCTTTGCCGTAATTGGTTCTACAATGCATTGTTCTAGGAAACTATCTTGAACGTATTTCATTGACTTCCAAACTATTGCTAATTTGATTTGACTAGGCTGTATGAAGATTAAAGTCTCCCACAATTATTGTAGTTGCTGTTGGAAGTTCATGTCTTGATTAATCATCAGGTAATCACATAACTATTGATAACAAACCTGTAAACTGCTACCAGTGTTTTTTTTTCTGCCCCTTGTATCTTTTTCAACCCAAACTGATTCAATTGCCACTTTTGCAGCCCAACACTATGCCCACCCCACCCTGGTCCATTATAAGCAGACATAACCCCCAGATCACCACTTTTCCATTCTGTCTGTCTTTTCAAAGAATCGAGTACCCCAAAATATCTAGTTCCTAAACGTGGTCATAGTGCAACCACGGGCCTGTAATCACTATATTTTGCTACATCTTATAAATATTTTGTGCATTCAGATAGGCACTTTTAATTTCAACTTCTTCCCTTTCTTCCTTAGTTCAAGGTGGAAGTAGAACCTTCAATTTTTAAAAAAAAAATTCATTCAGAGGATGTGGGTGTCACTGTCCAGACCAGCGTATATTTCCCATCCCTAATCACCCAGGTAAGGATAACAGCTTCCCTCCCTAAAGAACATTAATCAACCAGATAGGTTTTTCCTGACAATCCATATTGGATTCATGGTCATCATTAGAGTTTATCAAGTTCAAATGCCAATTCCATCATCTGCCGTGGTGGGATTTGAATCCGGATCCCCAGAACATTACCTGTGTTTCTGCATTAACAGTCCAGCAATAATACCACTAACACATCATCTCCCCTTCAATGATGGCAATGATACAAGGCCAGAGCTTGCTCTGGGTAAAATACAAAACCAGGACTGAAGAAAGTTCAATTTAGCTCCAGCTAGCCAGGAAGACATGATACCAGGGAAATGAGGCTTGTAGGTGGGGATCAAAGCTTTGGTCTTCCATGTGGCACAATGCAAGAAATTTCTGGTAATCCAGTACCGGTTATTGAATAAATAGTCAGACCAAGTGAGCAACAGGGGAGAGGTAAGAGAAGTGGTGGAGAGGTAAGAGAAGTGGTGGTGAGGTGCAGCTGGGCAGGTAATTGAGAAATAGCATGGATCCAGGAATACATCCATGGAGAACACCAGAAGTAATATGCAGAGTCAGAAAGAGAAACCACTTTAAATGATTGTCTAGCCAGACGAGTAGCCACCCCATTAAAGAACAGTGGAAGGCATGAGAAGAGGATGGTGGGGTCAGTTGTATCAAAGGCTGTAGGCATGTCAAGGACGGAATCTTAGGATTTGTCACATCCACGTAGAATGTGACATTTAGTACCAACCATTTTGGTATTTTGAGTAATGTTGTCATGGATTTGAGAGGAAAAGAATTTATAAAGACTGACAGGTCAAGCATTTTTTTTTTCCAGGAAAAATTATGGCAATTTCAGAGGAAAGAAACAGAACATGGAGAGAACATGAACTATTAACAATAGGACAGCAGGAAGGGAAGTCAGGCGATGTTCAGTGGCATCAGCATCACTGAATCCCCCACTGTCCACATCCTGGGAGTTACCGGTGACAAAAAAAAAACTGAACTAGACCAGCCATATAAAGACTGTGGCTACAAGAGCAGGTCAGAGGCCTGAAGTAAGCAACTCACTTCCATTAAGTACTCCTCATTAAACACAGCAGCAACAACACTCAAGTGCCTTGACCTCATCCAGAGCAAAGCAGTCTGCTTGCTCGATACCCCATCCACCACTAAAACACTCACTTGCTTCACCTCCTGTAAAGGGTTTCAGCAGCAGATGAGCTGAGGCAGAGTGCATGATGCTGAAAATAAGATAGTCTGGGTTCAAGATATGGGGCCAAGTTAAGGTCAGGAACATGCAGGATGCAAATAGGCTGGTTCTACATACTCAATGACTAGGGAGTTGAAAGAATTAAGCAGCAAGTGAACAGCTTAGGGCTGAACTGAAGGTAATGGCTTTTACCTTGACATTTACTTCGAGGAAATTACAGCTCATTGAGTACTGGGTAAATCAAAGGAGGGAGGAATAAAGAGATATTTACAGATTGAAATTGATTCCATATCTTACAGTAGTAGTGCCAATAAGTAGCGTTTAAAAAGTAATAGAATGTCAAGGATCAGTCCCTGGGGAAGGCCAGAGGAAGTGGGAAGTGATTACAGGAGTTCCTCCATCTCCAGCTGGATGATTAGAAACAGTACTGTTGGGCGGTATTGTGTCTGATGGTATGTTCACTGTGTCAAAGGATGCAGACAATGTGGAGAATGAGGAGATATTGTTTATCAGTGTCAAGGTCAAATAGAATGTCATTTTTAAACTTGCATTAGAGTGGTTTCGTGGCCGTGCTACTTGCTGGCACCCAGAGTCTTTCATCATTCAGCTGCACAGTGCCACTTATTCACTCAGGTTAACTTTACACCCCCCGAATGCAGAATATGGTTCTGCTGTAAATTCTCATGCCACTAGCAAGGGGCGAGGGGGTGGGGGGTGGACTCTTTTGCTTTGGTACCTTCCACCAAATAGCTGCAAAGAGTCAACGGCAGAGATGATTTTACTGTCATTTTAGATGCCCGAGTACAAATATCTCAATCATGGGCTGAAAATGTCCTGTTTGGAAACAGTGAGCTGAGAAACAATAGATAGTTTGAGGGAAATAAAGCAAAAAACTGCAGATGCTGGAGACCTGAAACAAAAACAAATTGCTGGCAAAACTTAGCAGGTTTGGCAGCATCTGTGGGAGAAATCAAGTCTGGTGACTCATCAGAAGAGTCAGTTCTGATGAAGAGTCATCAGTCTAAACGTTAACTCTGCTTTTTTCCACAGATGCTGCCAAACCTGCTGAGTTTGACCAGCTATTTCTGTTTTTGTGATGGATTGAGAAAATTAGGAACTATTAATGCTCAACACGTGAAAACATTTAAAACTGCAACAGCAAGCTGCTGCCTTGCACTCCAGCTGAGGTTTCCACAGCTTACTGTATGGTGCATGTATAAGCTGCAGTAACACAGGATCTCTTTTTCCTAGAAATTGTACACATTGTGTGTATCTGCAGCCCCCAGCGCTGCACATTTGTAGGGCTCATGCCATTAGCCAGAAACTGCCTAACAGGTTGTATTTATAAATCCCATTTCATTTTTTACGCAATACTATCAGATCAAAGTTTGACACCAAGCAAAGATATTAGGACAAACGGAGCTGTGGAGCCTCAAAGAAGGTAGAATTCCAGTGCTTACAATCCATTAGCATCTCAGACAGAGACCTCCTTGAACACTTAAGCTTCTCTCTGGGATTTCACTGAAGCCCATTACAATTCGATATTTGTCCAAAATGGTTGAGAAATCCAGTCTGGAATACATATCAAATCACTTTTTAATGAGACGCAATGATACTCAAATAAACCCGATTATAAATGCATTGAAAACATAGATCAGAACACCGTGAACCAGAAGTGGGAGCAAATGAGCGGCATCAATAACCCAGGCTTGTGGGCCTAAACTTCGGATTAATCACCAGTTCCCAGTGTTAGTGATGTGCCTGAACAAATTCACACTTCCTGTGAGGCTTTGGAACTAAAAGACTAACCAATAGGGTCAGAATCCAAATTTACATAAGTTGAGGAATCCTTTTTGGCACGGTGGGAGGTGGGGTTACTGGTGAGGCTCCACTGGGGAAGGAGTTGGGAAAAAGGAGCTGGGATTCTGATGTTTTAAGGTGCAACAAGTTTCCACATTATGAGGCAGGGATATCTTTTGAAGGATCTAAATTTGCAAAGCAGATTGGTTGTGACAGATCTTCCTTTACAAAATTCAAGATATTTCTTTGCCGAACATAATTCTTTTTAAAAAAAAAAAGCTTCCGAACACAGTTTCCCACTTAATATTTTACATGTAGAATCCTATTTGAAAGGCAGATCAATAGAGGTCCCAGTCCGAGTGGAGGTGGGTTCAGTCGCTAAGTTCTGCTCTCACTCTCCAACAGAGACCAAGACCAAGCCACAGACTGCTCCACAATTCAGGTTCATAATGAGGTTACGGGCTGCCAGCACAGTGCAGGCCCTAGGCTGTGCCACCTTGTAATGCAGAGGACAAGGCTTTCACATTCTGGATACCCAGCTCCCATTTCAACCTGCCCATGGCCTGAGCTGGACTTGTCAAATCTGGTTACCCTCACTGCAAGACAGGATTGATCCTGTTTGACTGAAGATCATCTGGGCAAAGCAAGAAAGCAACCAACAAAATGACTGTAACTGTACAGAATTACATGAATGTTTGTGCCCAGTAGTACTCACCTTCCAGCCCTAAAAATTACATAGCAGCACTTTTGGCAGATGAACCCAAAACATTTACCAGAATTAATGCTCTCCTCAGTTCTATAGGAAGGTCTAAAAAATGGAAGCATACAGTTTTGAATCTGGTATTTAAAACCAGTTGAGTTTTGAGTGGTTTGTAAGCATCAAGCTGAGCAGGCAATGGAAACCTGATGGATTCCTAAGCTGGAACAAGTTATTTTTCTCCAGAAGCTGACTTTCCAGGAAGACTCCACGGCAAGCTTCCTGTAGGGGGAAAGGAGTCACATACAGGTTCTGTTCAATCAGCAACCATCAGTTGTGGTGGAAACAAGGAGAGGGAATGGGTGCAGTGCTGTGACAGAAATCAGACTTGCACTGTGCAAAGTGAGGAATGCATTGCAATGCCGCCATTTCGTGTCCTTAGGTAGTACGTGTTTGACATGCTGTCAGGGCCATCCACTGTGACACTGCAATCAGCTATCTTTGTAAACAAACAGGATGTCTTCATCCGTCCCATAGCTCATGCGGGCCTCGTTGAAGTTACTTACAGTCGTGCAACAGACTCCTGCAAAAACAAGGCAAGTATCAATGAACGCTCAACTCAAAACTCACCCCTACTTTTTGGTTTTTATTCCTCACGCCTCCTGCTCAAGCTACTGGATCATGTCAGACTGGGACTGACAGCCCATGTGCCTGGTTAGAATTGACAAGAGTGTTGCCTAGCACTTTTAGAATGGACTGATCGTCGGCCAAGTTAAAAAGCACACAGTCAGCCAATATGATACACACA